CCATTATTCACATTCTTCTTATCCACCTGTGAAAGCCATGCTGTCAGCCCAGATGCTTGTCCACAGATGACTGAAATGCGGCCTGTCCTCAGAAGAGTATGACTCAGTCACCGAAAGGAAGGAAGGGTGGGGACATTGCACTTGCCCAGCAGCCTGGAGAGAGGCCCTAGGGTCTATCCTCAGCTCTGGGTAAAACAAAACAAACAAAATTCTTGACCAAAGCTGTGGCAGCTCACACCTATAATCTCAGCAGGCAGGAGGCTGGGATGAGAGGATGATAAGGCAGGAGCATGGTGAACTCAAGGCCAGCGCTGGCTATGTAGCAAGAAAGTCACACATACACACACACACACACACACACACACACACACACACACACACACACACACACACACACCACAGAATTTAAAATAAAAATAAATCTTAAAGTGAAATAAAATGAAAGAGGGGACAGTATGGCCACCCATCTGTGACAGAGGGCCAGAATTCACCAGGGTGGATCTGTGAAAACCCCTTCACTGCCTGCTGAGCCGCTCAGCTCCGTGTGCCCCCTCACCCCAGGTTGATGACCCTCCACTATTTAAAGTCTTCTCGCCTTTATGTAACCTTTGGCTCACAGGTGACTCTGGGTGGAGTCCAGAAGCCTTTATGGAAATGAAAAGGCTTGGGGCTGGCTGGGGATCAGAGTGGGCAGGGACCAGCTATACAGGACCTGTGGTCAGCCCCTCTAGACCCTGCTCCTGTCCAATCAAGACTGCAAAGTCACCAGGAACACTGTGTGACATTGTGCAGGCTACAACCTGAGCAACGGTGCCCAGTGCCTCTGACTGTGACCGGGTGGCCCAAGAGGGTCTCCTTGCTGGAGACCCTGAGCTGTGTGCTGAGAACTGAAGAAAGAACACAATTTTGTCAGGTGGTAGTGGTGGTGCACACTTTTAATCCAAGCAATGGGGAGGCAGAGGCAGGTGGATCTCTGTGAGTTCAAGGTCAGCCTGGTGTACAGAATAAGTTCCAGGACAGCCAGGGCTACAAAGAGAAAACCTGTCACAAAAAAATGAAACAAAACAAAAACAAAAAAATTAACCAACCAATCATCCAAAAACAAAACAAAACAAACAAAAAACAAAAACAACCAAACAAAACAACAACAATAAAAAGAATGCAATCAATCAAGACCCTGGATTCTAGGACATTGGGGGACAGATGAGACAGCCTTCAGAAGCAGCAGCCAGGGCAGGCTGAGAGGAGAGACTGCTTCAGCGTGTAGAATTCTTCTGGGAGTGGCAGTGTTGTGAAGCCATACTGTCAGGCTAGTTACACAGTCTTGCAAATGCTCTGAGATCTGCTGATCTACTGTAAGATGGTTACAGTAGGCACTCTCGTGTTATATGTTTTTATTTTACTGTGTGTGTGTGTGCATGTGTGCATGAGAATACAGATGCTTGTGTGTGCAAATGTGTGTGGAAGCTAGGTATCTTCTTCCTTTCTTTTGTTTTGTTTTTTGAGACCGGCTGTACTAGCTAGTTTTATCTCAACCCGACACAAGCTGAAGTCATCTGAGAGGAGGGAACCTCAATTAAGAAAATGTCTCCATAAGATCTGGCTATATGCAAGCCTATAAAGCATTTTCTTAATTAGTGATTGATGAGGGAGGGCCCAGCCCATTGTAGGTGGTGCTAGGTTCTATAAGAAAGCAGGCTGAGCAAACCAGGAAGCAGCACCCCTCCATAGCCTGCCTCTGCATCAGCTCCTGCCTCCAGGTTCCTGCCCTGTGTGAGTTCCTATTCTGATTTCCTTCAGTGATGAACAGTGATGAGGAAGAGTAAGCCAAACAAACCCTTTCCTCCCCAAGTTGCTTTTGGTCATGGTGTTTCATCCCAGTAACAGTAACAGTAGCAAAGACACAGGGTTTCTCTGTGTAGCCCTGGCTGTCCTGGAATTCATTCTGTAGACTATGGCCTCAAATTCAGAGATCCACTTGCCTCTGCCTCTCAAGTGCTGGGATTAGGGGCGTGTGTGCCACCACATCTGACTAGGTGTCTTTTTTTTTTTTTTTTTTTTTTTTTTTTTTGGTTCTTCAAGACAGGGTTTCTCTGTGGCTTTGGAGGCTGTCCTGGAACTCGCTTGGTAGTCCAGGCTGGTCTCGAACTTACAGAGATCCGCCTGCCTCTGCCTCCCGAGTGCTGGGATTAAAGGCGTGCGCCACCAACGCCCGGCCTAGGTGTCTTTTTGAGAACTCCCCATTTTACATTTTGAGGTGGGGGTCTCTCACTTGAATCCAAAGCTCACTAACTCTGTTAGCAAGCTTGCTCCAGGGATCTCCATCTTCTGCACACACGCTGAGGTTACAGGTGGGTAGCCACCCCTGCCTGACACTCCAATGCATGCTAGGGAGCACTGTCCCAGTGTGCACACTTGCTTAGCGGCGCCGTCACCCACCGGGCCATCTCCCTGGGCCCAGGTTACTGATTTACTTACTATCTGTACGTATTAAGACTTGCTTTTGGTTTATTTAACCGTTCCTGTTCATGTGAGTGTATGCGATGTGTGCAGGTACCCTTGGAAGTCAGAAGACCGTACTGGGGACCCTGGTGCTGGAGTTAAAGGCAGATGTGAGCCACCCAGGGTAGGTGCTGGGAATTGAACTTGGGACCACTGCAACATCAGCAAGCACTCTTAACCACTGTCCCATCTCTCCAGCCCCTGTGTATATATATATATGTATATATATATATATATACTTTTTTTTGAGACAGGGCCTCATGTAGCCCATGCTGGCCTCAAACTTGCTATGTAGCAAAGATGACCTTGAACCTTCTGATCCTCTTGTTTCCATTTCTGAGTGCTGATTTTACAGATGGGCTACTTGTGATGCAGTGCGTGGAATTCTGAACTTCGTGGGAGTCAGGCAAACGCTCCCAATGCTCCAGCCCTCCGGTTTTTGTTTTAATTGAGGTGAATTTTATAGAACGTAGATCAACCATCTTAGTGTTTAATACAGTACAATGCTCTTCCCAGCTGTTTCCTCACCACTGCAGCTTTTTTGGGGAGTGGGGGCATTCATATTTGAAAGCCGTTCTGGAAGGGTATGTACAAATCAGTGGTGGGGATAATTAGCACATCAGAGCTAGGAAGAGATTGTGTGTGGATGGAGGTGGTGATATATAAATTCACATCCCTTGCGTTAGGGCAGGAGAGAGCTAGGTTTGCCCACGCAACCCCTTTCCTCAGACTTCCCTGAACCCAACATGTCACCCACTCTTTCTCCTAGTGCAGTGACATCTCCCCTCAAGTTTTGGAGCAGAGAAGGCTGTGATTTAATCCGTGGCGCTGGGAAAACACCAGCTGATGGTGTTATAGTCACTGTGTGTCTTGCTGATCCCAGGGCAAAGAACAGGTTCCCTCATAGAGTCCTGCTAGGATACGACTCCCGGAACCGAACAATCACCTGTGGCAACTTGGGTTATCTTTTGCTGCCACCCTGTGGTAGGTCTGAGAATTTCGACTCGTATTTCTGTACTTTGTAACCTAGATAGCACTTAGCACATGCTGTCTGCTAAATCCTAGTAAGATCTCTTGCGGCTACCTGGACAGCCACGACAAGAGGATAGCAACGATGCCCGAGCCATCTCCTCTATTCTTGCCAGGTGAAACAGCAGATTGGGAAAAGGGAGGGCTGACGGGAGTGAGGCTGGTCCCTGGGCACCCTGGGAATACTGGCAGGGTTTGGATGCAGCTGAAGTCAGAAGAATGGGCAAAGGCTTCCCTCCCAGGGTGGCCCCATGCACTGCTTTCCTGATTGTCTCTTCCTCAGCACTTTTCACCATGCCTAAATGATCAAATAATAAATATTTATTTATTTATTTACTTATTTATTTTTAGTTGTGAGCCTAGCCTTTAAAGGCTGAGCTATCCTACTCCGGCCCTTACTTTATTTTTATTTTATTTTTAAATAATTATTTATTTATTTATTTTTTGTGTATACAATCTTCTGCCTGCATGCCAGTGGAGGGCACCAGATCTCATTCAAGGTGGTTGTGAGCCACCATGTGGTTGCCGGGAATTGAACTCAGGACCTCTGGAAGAACAGCCAGTGCTCTTAACCACTGAGCCATCTCTCCAACCCCCTTTACTTTATTTTTTAAGATTTATTTTTATTATTTTAAATTATGAGTATGTGCAGGTATATGCACATGAGTGCAGGTGCCTGTAGAGGTCAGGGGAGCTGGTTGCCCCCAGGGTGGGTTTACAGGACGTTGTGAGCGCTTGACCTGGGTGCTGGGTATCCAACTCTGCTCCTCTGGGGGAGCAGTCCATGTTTTTAACTGCTGAGCTCTCTCTTCAGACTGCCGAATTTATTTAACATCCGAGGACCCGACAGTGGACCCCCTGTAAAGGTGTGAGGAGCGAATAAACAATGCATGCGGAAAGGTTGGGCTGGACCACTCCAGCCTCTGAAGTGAGACCAGGCGGAGGAGCTGAGCTCAAGGCCAGGTGTCAGCCCGGCGTGGTGGAGTACTTCTGTAATCCCAGCACTCGGGAGGCTGAGGAAGCATAGCTGCGAGTTCGAGGGTGGCACTGGTCTACAGTGTGAGTTCCGTCTCAAACCAAACCAAACAACAACAGAAAGTTGAGGTGCACAGGGATGAAGGAGAGGTTACACACAGCGGGGCTGCTCTGAACTAGGCAAGTAGTGCGCAGTACCTATGGGCGGGTTCCGGAGAAGGAGGGAAGGGGCGAGGCTTGGGGGAATGGGTCCTTATTGGGGCGGAGATTAGACTGGAGTCTGAGTGACCGTGGATGGGTTCAATATGGGCGGGGCTTTCTTGAGCTGTGGCCAATTGAGAGCAAGGGCGGGGCTGAAGGCGTGACCAAACGAGGGACGTGTAAATACCAGGGGCAGGGCTTAAGACAGGGGGCAGAGTCTGGCCGAGTGGGTTGGGACCAGACCAATCAGGGAGCAAGGTAAGCATGGAGGGGCGGGGTCAAGCCAGACCAAGTTCTCCCGCTGTCCCCGGTCCTGGAGCTCTCCAGGCCGGGCACGTCTGTCACCGACCTGGCCTCTCTTTTAAGGGCTGGGCCACCGCATATGTAGGATTGAACAAGAGCCTGGTGCCAGGCTGAGGCTGTTGAGCTCCAAGGCTCTGCCCTCCGGGCAAGGTGCCTGCTGGGACTCTGGCGAGCTCAGCTCCCTGGTCAAGCAGGTGCCAGAACACTGCGCTGTCTCCAGCAGCTGCGAGGGTGAGCCGGTCTGTGTGGGGCCTGCGCGTGCATGCAGGTTTGAATAGCTTTGTGTGGGCGCGCACTGTATGCACCTGGGGAATAGTGTGCGTGTGTGTGGAGTTGCTATAGGGAGCTGAGTGCCTGTGCAAAGTTCTGTGCTGGTGTACAAGGTCTGTTCTGTGTGGGTGTGGAGTGCAGGGGCTATGTACAGAGGGTGCATGTGTCAGGGTAGCATGGAGTAAAATGAAACGGCAGGTACAAAAATACCGGGGGTGGAGATGGGGAAATAGGGCAGGATATCTATGGCAAGCCATGGGGTGAATATGTGAGGACAATGGTGGGAATTTAGGAATTGAAATGTATGTGCCTGTTTGAGTGGGTGGCATTGAGAGTGCTTCTGGAGGCTTCGGGAAGAGTGGGGATGGGGAGACAGCATGAGGCGCTACTTGCTTTCGGGGGTTAGTGTGGGTAGGGGGAGTGGGTAGTGGATCTGGCCTGGGTCCGCTGCAGATTTTATCAGTTTCTTACTTTTAGTGCTGGGAGGAGAGTGGACAGGGTCACTGAGGGATGCAGCTGTCCTGACAGTGTAGTGTCCACGCTTCGTGTGAAGGGAGCTGCCACCTCACTAGCAACTCTTTGTTCCCAGGCTCTGTGCTCACCCTGTCCTGGAGGTGTCTGAGTTCGAACATGGTGCAAAAGTACCAGTCTCCTGTCCGAGTGTACAAGTATCCGTTTGAGCTGGTCATGGCGGTGAGTGGCCAGTTCTTGGGCTGTCTTGTAACTGGAGGTCGGTTATGGTGGGAAGGAGAGGGGACATTTCAGACTATGAAATGGGAGAGAATCACTGAGCTATCCAGATGCCGCCCCCTTCCATCTGTCATGACTCTTGGAACCCTGCCTAGAAGATAGAATACAAGATCTAGTGTGGTGGTACGAGCCTGTAATCCCAGCATTCGAGAGGCTGGAACAGGATGGTCAGGAATTCAAAGTCATCCTGGGCTACACAGAAGCAAAAATAGGGGATGTCGGTGTCACCTTCAAGTCTGAGTATGCAGATAAGTATGAGTGTCTTGCAGGAAGGCAGCTGAGTGCCGAGGACTGACCCCAGATCCTTGGCCTCCTGGACCCGGTCTGCACTGAGACCAGAGTTGAGGCATGTCTTGGGTTCCTTCTCTGGGTTCCATCACTCTGCCTCCTGGAGCTTCAGTCTGTTCTTGGAGAAATAGGGGCAGTGCTACAGGCTTGTGGTGGAGAGTAATAGAAGTGGCTGGTGTCCCAGAAGCCACGTGATTGACACATAGTAGGTACCTGTGACATATGGCATTCCTGTTATCACACAATGTCTAGAGCTGAAGGCAAAGCACAGCAGTAAATGTTTGCTGAGCTTGCAGAATATTTTGAGTTCCATGCCTAGTGCCCCCCCACACACACCACACACACCACACACACACACAACACACACACAGATAGTAAAAGAAAATACAAGACAAAGTTTTATAAATAATTATGCTGAAATATCTTGCAAATGTGTCCAGTCTGTGGCCCATGAGCTTCTTGTGTCCCAGGACAGGTACCAATGTGACCCAATATAGTAGTAGACTACAACATCCTATGAGTGTCCAAGGGTTGGATATCCCTGCTAGTGTCCAACACCAGTGTCACCCCATTCTGCTGCACCCCATCCGTACTGCTAACCCCAGCCTTCTTCTGAAGAACCCATTTCAGCTAGTGGATCTGTGCATATGTCCTGTCTGGTTCAACTCTACCAGCCCACATCTGATGTTTCCTAGTCAGATAGAAGATAAAGGCATCATTACACATGGCTGATTCCCAGGATGCTGAGGTTGACAAGATAGGTGGCCCTGGAGCAAGTTACGATTCTCCCAACCAACCCTCTGCTATCCATCTTTAAAGTGGGGATCCCTGGCTTTCCAAATCATGGTGATGAGCAGTTGAGTGAACCAATATCTGCAAGCTCCTACAGCAGGCTCTGATGAAGAGGAAATGAGCCATGAATTTTGGCTCTTATTGTGACTCTTGTCCAGGTAGGCTGTAAGGTTTCCCTTCTTTGCCATGGGGCTGTGACTCCAGAGGGTGAGACTCAGCCACTTTGGTGAGACGCACTGGATCCACACTGTTTCATGGCTCTCTCTCTCTCTCCCTCCCTCCCTCCCTCCCTCCCTCCCTCCCTCCCTCCCTCCCTCCCTCTCTCTCTCTCTCTCTCTCTCTCTCTCTCTCTCTCTCTCTCTCTGTGTCCATCTCAACACAAAGCCCATTCCACACCTAGCAGAGGAAAAGTACTAGATGAGGGGGCTGTATCTCAGTCAGTGAGGTGTGCTCTCAGCATGAACAAAGCCCTGGGCTTAGTCCTCAGAACCTCATATTTTCATATGGTGGTGCTCAACTCTAACCCCAGCCCAGAAGCTTAGAGGCAGGAGGCTAGCTTATCCTCATCTCATCGTGAGTGTGAGGCTAGCCTGAATTACTCGAGACCCCATGTAAAGGAGAAAATTCTGCTGAGATGAGCCATTGGGTAAAGGTGGCTGCCTTCAAGACCCAAGTTCCATCCCTGGCACCCGAATGCTGGAAGACTCCCGCAAGTTGTCCTCTGACCTCCACACACAGCCTCCCAAGTAAATAAATAAACAAATTTAATTCAAGTGTTTAAAAACATTCTCTGAGGGGGTAATGGTAAGTGACTGTAAGTCCTCTCTGCTCCTGACTACTGACACTTTCTTAGCTTCAGAACCCACTCATTCACTGAGTAGAGGAGAGAGCCTGTCCTCACCTTCTGGGGTTGTTTCAAACCAAGACTTTCAGCCGTGAAGCCAAGACACATGTCTGCAGGGTGGGGAATGATCTGCTGTGTGGGCTTAATAAATGTAAGTTCGGTTTATCATGCATAGGTTATAAAGAATATTCACAACCTGGTGTGGTGGCGCATGCCTAGAGCCCTAGAAGTAGGAGGGAGCCTGGTGGTGGCAGGAGGCTCAGGAGACCGAAATCACTGCGAGCTACAGGGCTAGCCTGAGCCACATGGGACACTACCCCTCCAACCCCAATTTAAAACAATAAGAAGGAAAAGGAAGGTTTTCAGATAGTGAATTTCCAGTCCTCGAGAGGCTGAGGCAGGGGGATCTCTGTGAGTCTGAAGTCAGCCTGTTCTATATGAAGGGTACCAGGACAGCCAGGGCTATCTAGAGAGATGCGGTTTCTAAAACCAAACAAACAAATTAAATAGTGAATTGCACTGAGTCATCTTCAAAGTGTCCTCTGGAGGGTGGGTCACAGCCATCTCCTCTCCTCTTCCGTTCTGTTCTTGTCCGTGTTCAGATCCCGCAGCTTCTCCATAGACAAAGACGCTTTGCTAACTGCTGACAAAATGCTATTGTCCCTCAAACAGCTACATAACTACACGGAACTTGTGGCTCTGGAGGCACAAAAGGGTTTTTCTGCCCTTAATGCCCCTCTTTGTTCCTTAGTTGATACTTGCCCTCAGCGTGGGTTCCAGGCTGGACCATTGGGAATGAACTCAGCTGCCTCCAGGCATCCGAGAAGCTGCTGGATCTGTTTAACAGAAATGTCTGGAGAATTGAATCACCCCTTCATGCTTCAAAAGCCCACCAGTAGAAGCTGGAAAAGCCTCCCAGAACACCTACTGATTTACTGACTTCTAAAACTTTTTTATTTATTCTTATTTGTGTGTGTGTGTGTGTGTGTGTCTACATGCATTTATGTGCATCTTGTGCATGTGGATGCCCACTGAGGCCAGAGCACATTGGAACTGTGATCCACCTGATGTGGGTGCTGGGAACTGAACCCTGGAAGAGCTATCTCTCAAGAAAGACTTCTAAAAAATTACACTATTTGAGAGGGGGGATATAAATTTATGGGGAGGTCAGAGAACAATTGTCTGGATTCTTTTGCCATGTGGATTCTGGGAACTGAACGCAGGTCTTTAGCCATCTCACTGACACAATTGATTGATTTTATTTTGAGACAAGACCTCACCTAGGCTGTAGCTCAGGCTGGCCTGGAACTCACAGCAATCCTCCTGCATCAGCCTAAGTGTGGAGACTATTTTAAAAGATTTGAGCCACGGAGATGGCTCAGTGGGCAAAGGGCTTGCTGTGCAACTATGAGGACCTGAGTTAGTACTCGCCTGCAATCATACAGAAGCTATGAGGACCTGAGTTAGTACTCGCCTGCAATCATACAGAAGCTGGGTGCAATAGAGTGTACCTCTAACCCTCAGGATGGGGGTACACAGACAGAGAGATCTTCAGGAATCACTGGTCAGTCAGCCTAGTAGAAATGCACTGAGCTTAGTGAACAATTCTGCCTCAAACATAAGATGGAGCTGGGTGGTGGTGGAGCACACCTTTAATCCCACCACTCAGGAGGAAGAGGCAGGCAAATCTCTGTGAATTTGGGGCCAGCCTGATCTACAAAGATACACAGAGAAACCTTGTCTTGAAAGAAAAAAAAGACAAAAAAGGAGAATAATGGAGGAAGACAGTGGAATAGACTTCTGATGTATGCACACACACACACACACACACACAGACACGAGAGAGAGAGAGAGAGAGAGAGAGAGAGAGAGAGAGAGAGAGAGAGAGAGAGAGAGATTTTGGCTATTTTAAGTTTGGCATAGTGCCTCATGCACTTGGCCGGCTGAGGCAGGAAGATTGCAGATTCGAGTTCAGCTTTGGCTACATAGTGAGCCAAAAGGAAAAAAGGAGGGGGTTGGTGTGTATTTGTGTATGTGTGTGCTATATGTATATCCAATGTGGATGCATATTTGTATGTGTACTAGAAAACCAGAGGTCAATGTCAGGTGCCATGTTTCCTCAATCGTTCTCCACCTTCGTTTTGTTGAAAACCTTTTTCAATACTTTTTTGGGGACTTGACTTGTCCCAGAACTTGCTATGTAAGCCAGGCTAACATCAGACTCAGGAGATCCGCCTACCTCTGCCTCACAAGTGCTGGGATTAAAAGTGTGCACCATAGCATCCAGTATCGACTTAATAGAAGATCTATTTTATTGTAAGTTCTGTGCATGCACGTGTGTCCTTGAGCATTTGTACACATGTGTGAAGGAGTCTGTGGAGTTCAGAGACTTCAGCCTCCTTGGAGCTGGAGTTACAGGTGGCTGTAAGCCTTCTGACATGGTGCTGGGAACAGAACTGGGGTCTTCTAGAAGAGCAGTACATGCTTTCAACTGCTGAACATCTCTCTAGACCCTTAAAATTTTAAAACCATACTTTATTTTATGACTAGCAATGCAATTTACACATTGAATAATACTGTACTAGAATGATCTGATTTTTTTTTCTGAGACAGGGTTTCTCTGTGTAGCCCTAGCAGTCCTGGAACTATCTCTTACAGACCAGGCTGGCCTGAAACTCACAGAGATCATCTGCCTCTGCCTCCTGTGTGCTGGGATTAAAAGCATGCACCACCACTGCCTGGCTGATCTGATAGTTTTAAACAGAAGAAAAAAGGGGGAAGTTTGAGGCAGCCTAACTCCTACCTGCTTCAAGTGAACGGGCTGAGAGAGACAGGGAAAGACAGAGTCTCTCACTGAAGTACATTGTTTTTAAACATGGGGCTGGGGATGAAGTTTACGGCTCTAGTTACCCACACTATAACTAGCCAGCTGTTGCTTTTGGTGTTCTCATTTGAGATGTTTTTAGCAAGACACAACTCTCTCTGAAGGAGATTTTGGCTTTATGAGCTGCACTGAAGT